ACGCCAAGGGGATGGGTTAAATGTAGAGGTCATTTTCTTCAGTGTGAAATTAATAAAGTTCAATTATAATTATAAAGTTCAGTATGGCAGGTAGTTTTAACATTTATTGTGTGTTGTTCCCTTGGTAGATCAGGGGAATAGGATTGTTCCTGTTATAACTGTAATAACAGATCTTCTAAATTATATATTTGCAGTAGAAACTGAAATTCACAAAGTAAATAACTACATTGCACTAGAAAGAATCAAGTTTTATAATATTAAGTTTTATCTAGATATGTTTAGACACTTTAAGTCATTGTTTTGATATTCATCAGCTTGACTGAATATGTATTTATGATATCTGAAATACATTTCTTCATAGTCAAAATAATTCCCCCCTGTCAAACGTCCAATTAGACCTCCGATGTATCTTAGGGACGGGACCATGTGTTTACAATTGCTTGTTTGCTTCGAAATGTAATGTTAAGTATACCTTCTTTAATTTATGACTGGATCTTTAAGACATTTAGTTGAATCTGCTTTAGATTCTGGCATTAGTTTAGATTCTGATTCTTGTTTTAGTCATGTGAGACAAACAAGGAAATGGGTGTTCTAAAGTTGAAGAAGACAGAATAAAGCATGTTGGGAAAATCTGTCTCTATCCTTCGGCTTCTCCTTCTAAAGAGATTCAATCATCATTTAATTGTACCCTCATGTTACATCTATTTATCAGCTTCACACATGTTATAACGGGATACTGTCAGGTTCATCTGCACTGATGAAGACACAGCTGTGCTGAGATAAACTCTGGACAGCTGCATGTTACCTGAAGATCCATGAAACATCTTAACATATTTTCCTTCTCTTACAGGTCTGAGAATGAGGAGCCGACCTGAGGTGAGAGCTGGTTCTGTTTAAAGCAGTTCTGTTCTGACTCCATCTCATTGCACGGACCTCAGAATCTAAAAACAAATCCTTTAAATGTTTTAAGATGTTGATGCAAAAGCTGATTTTGTGTCACTGATAAGTGCTTCCAGATAAAATATTTAAGTAACAGAACCAAAGCCATTCTGTAAAGATCCAGGGATCCAATTCAGGTGAAAAACCTGATGATCCATTTCTTGCATCACAGATATAAACTGTAGACTGAAATTCTTTCAAGTTTCTGTACTTCAGGTTCCTCTTACTTTGTCCTGGTTTGTTGGATATCGGGTACTGAATTGAAACATCACAACAGCACTGTAGTGTTTAATCAGAGTGAAATCATTTAAACTCCAATGTGTTATTCCCAAGCTGTATAATTGATCAAATTATAATTCAATATCTAAGCAAATTATTAATGTCAAAATAACCCCATTCAATTTACTTTGTTAAATCTGTCACAATCTGTTATATTTTTTTTTAAAATACCAGTAGAATATAACTAAATAGTAACTTTTTATTCAGATCCAGACAACTTTATTTATCCCCTAGGGGCAAGTCTATCCATAGACATTGGTTGCAGCAAATAACAAAAGCATTCCACACATATACACAGAGTTCCACAGGAGTATCTCAATGTCTAATTTGTTGTTGATTCTTCTCAAAAATTACAATTTGATATTTTTATATTTGAATCCTTAAATTTAAAAAGTTAAATTTGTAAAATGTAAAATTTAAAAAGTTTAAATAGGCCAAACGCTTTCGCAAGGCCCTGTATGCTAACAATAAAGCTTTTCTCCTTTAAAGTGAGAGGGTAAGACCCATTTCTGTCCAAAGGACTTGACTTCTTCTGTGTAACTGAGACATGGGTAAGGATTCTCTAGGTCAGTCTGGCTGGCCAGTCTAGGAAACACACAACTTGACAATTCATGCACATTTAGCCTTGTTCATGGGGAAGTCAATTTTCAGTACAATATGTATCTCGGGATGGCAAATTGGTGCTATTTAAATAAAATGAATCAATCTGATAAATGGGCCGATGGTTAGATGGAGTTTTTTTTTTTAATTCATTATTTACTTCAGACTTGGACTTTTTATGTGGATAACTGATGATTTGCTGATTGAAATAAATGATCTTAGTCTGCCACTTTTATCCTCTGCACCATAGATACCAGGCATCTCAGAAGATGATTGGACAGACACCATGGCCAGAATCTTTAAGATGCTGGAGGACGCTCAGTATAAGGAGATGGTGGATTTTTTTGATGAGCAAGGTGTAATAGATGCTCCAGCCAAGTTCACAGCCAAGTTTAAGAGGGAGCTTCCTGAGAAACTGATTCAGAAGTGTGGGATAACTGAATCAATCTCTGTGGTCAACGAAGCAATAAAGGAGATACCGAGGAACGACCCTGGTGTCCAGAACCTGCTGCGTCCATTTGTGGCCAAATTACCGCAGAACTCAGCATAGAGGGTGAGTGTTGGGTGTATCATGGTCAGGCCTGATCCTTTACCATATGGGTTAAAATGTTCCTGTTAACTTCTGATTTCCTGGTTCTGAGGAGAATGATGAGAATATCCATGGATGGTGGAGGTTCTGGGTCCGTATCAGAAAATGTTGAGGTTTTTTTTTTTTTTTTTAAGCTGATCTTCATGAACAGGTTAAGATCCTTCATCCTTCATGTTGGTCAGTCGGTGGTTTTCTACTCAAACTGTTTGTATTTAGTAGCTTCAGTAATGATGAGTCAAAGTGATCTCAGGTTTTATTCTCCATCATGGTTGAAAGTTCTGGTCCACAGCCCCACCTTCATGCTCAGATGACACCATAGCTAAAAAAAAACACTTTAGCAGAACCTCCCATGATGCCCCTGCTGGTAGCATGGTTTTGGTGCCCCAGACTTCTGCTGATGTTCTGAGCTTTGTGAAAAGGACATTTCTGGAACTCCACAAATAGCAGGAAGAGAAGCCTATTTATTAGCTTCA